AAGGGGAAAAAAAGGGGGGGGGGGGGGGGGGGGGGGGGGGGGGGGGGGATGATTTAAAAATTTATTGGATACAATGGGTCAAAATTGATCATACTTTCATTACCTACTACTCAAATCTCAAATAAAAGTAAATCATATTTCACTAGAGAGAAGAATATTTTATTTAGCTTGTATAGTTTTCATCGAATGTATTACAGTCACCGATTGTTTCTTCTATCCTCTCTCTCTCTCTCGCTCACTGGTTCTCTTACTCGCTCATTCATTGTATTCTCATAAACATGATCTCATCATACATAAATATTTATATTTTGGTTTTTGAAACTCCAAATGGTAGTATAGTTTTAAATTGGCGCATTGATTTTTTAATACACTTACAAAGTGACTCTTATTTTGCTACAAAAATGATCCTAATTTTCTATAGTAACAAAATAACCCTTGCAATTTTTTTTTTAAACTTTATAAAATGATCCCAACATGTCTAAAAATTATTGGGGGGGACCAGTTGCGTTCGAAGTGTGTCCAAAAGTCAGCAATCCTCTAAGTTTGGTTTTTTAGTCTTCAAGTGGGTCTGCCATGAAAGCCATTGCTTACATATCTTTTTGTTATTGGATGTAACACACAAGAACATCGTTATGAGCCGATACATTTCTTAGTNTAGTCTTCAAGTGGGTCTGCCATGAAAGCCATTGCTTACATATCTTTTTGTTATTGGATGTAACACACAAGAACATCGTTATGAGCCGATACATTTCTTAGTTAGTTGTGGATGGACTAATGACCACAATCATAGAAGCTATGGGATTTTTTTTTTTTGTGAGACTCATAGTTTTTGTCTTCAATTGTCCATGAGAAAAAATTGCACCTCTACTTTATATCTAGATTCTAAATTTATGATACCCGTTGATTGTTGGATTAAATCGTTTATTGTTGTACTAAAAGATATAACTGTTAGTGAATGCACAACTTTTTTCTTTTAATTAATTTAATGGCCCCCACAAGTCGGGTTAGTGAAATTATTGAGTCTTAGGGACTCACTGGTTCATCTGATCGCCTTGTCATTTTTCTAAAACGTCAAAACAGAGATAACTAGTAAGTGGATTAGGCGAATGCCGTAGCAGACTATTTTGCTAATAGAGCAGTGGAGGATAAGAGTTCCACAGAATTATTTGGCTCTGGGTTCTCTGCTTAAGAGCCCAGGTCTGCGAAGCTATTGCTGCTACAAGATCAGAGAGGGATTAGAGGGTTGCGAAGGAGAAGAATGTTTTGATTCTTTTTCTTTGGTTGTATTTTGAATCTTTGGGGTTAGGCGAAAACTGATTGTCAATTTTTTTTTGTCAACAAGACCCAGAAGCACTCATTGATCAGACAATGAATAATTAAAATAGCAAATGAAATTTTAAAGATTCAGATCTGGCTATGGAGTCTCCAACTGGGAGTCTGTTAGCCTCATAGGCTCTATCTGGGGGTAGGGGAGCTTCTGCCAATTTGAATATATTGGTTGTTGTGCTTATATTAAGTTACTAAGGAGGGTGGCATGTCCGGTTCGAAAAAATATTGGGTGACACCACTACAACTTAATCCAAGATCCCATCACTGGTGATCGAAGCTTCCGGCGAAAAAGTTGGTGAAGGGACTTTGGATTATAATGCTGACCAACCAGGTGCAGGGGTGGAGCCAAAATTTTGTCTCGGTGGGTACAACTTATTCATAGCTAATTGAAAAATATATTTATCTAATTAGATTCAAGTTTAAGAATTCGTTACTAAGTTTGTAACAAATGGAATAATGGACTACACATAAATCCAAAATATAGTTCAAACTAGAATTTCAAGAAATCAATTAAAGTAATTTAATCACAGGGAAGAAAAATAACACTAACCAAGAATCTCATAGGCAATTTGAACAGAGACTTTAACAAAAATTCAAAATAGTTAACTAGAAACCCAAGACGATACAAAGAAAATCCACATAAGTCCATAAATAATACATCAAACAACCATCAATTCTACAAGGGTTAAACTAATTTTCTAATATTAAAAAATTGATTTTAGATTAGTGCTAATACTATTATCAAAAAATTTGGTTAATGAATTACCTCTCCTTAGTTTCAACATAATCTTCTAGGGTTTCTTCAAATTTGATTTGCACAATAATTGAATCTAATAGGCTGATTTATTGATGAATACACCAAAAAAATTAACAAAGAAACTAAATAAAAGAAATAAGCAGGGTTGTCGGTTGGCCTGGAAGTCTGGACAAAAAAGACGAAGGCTTACAGAAAAAAAAAAAAAAAAGCGTGAAAAGGACCTCCCAAAAGTTAGCTTTTAAGGGTTTAAAATTAAATTAATATACCCTATACTTTAAGAAAATTTCAATGGGGTAAGTTTAAGAATTTCTTGAAATTTTTAAAATTACACTTAGGTACAAATTTTTTTTAAAATTTCACTGGAGACAGCTGTCAGGCATGAAAAATGAGGAGAAGCTGCCAAAAATTAATTTTTTAAGGGTTGAAAATTATATTAATATACTTTAAACTTTAAAAAAATTTCAGTGGGCAGCCCATACTAAATCCACCACTGACCAGGTGGTTACGAAGCCAGAGGAGATGGAGCGGTTGATGTCGGTGGTGGTGCTGGTGGAGGTTTTTTTTTTTTTTTTTGATCAAAGGTGTTGGTGGAGTTGAAGCTCATGTTTTAGAGGGTGTGGGAGAGATTGTCTAACCATGGTTCCATGGTTATTTTGTGGTAGTGTGTAGGTAATAAGAAGAGGGAGAAAGTGATTTTAAAGGTTTAAAGGACGAGAGAGGCCTCGGGTATTGAGTTGGTGTGCATGTTATTATTTTTTTTGGTTGCGCATGTTATTACCTTTTTTTTTTTTTTCATATTACTATTTTTTGAGCATGTTATTATTTGTTTGATGAGTATACTACTGTTAATATTTTTTTAAAATATTAATATTCAATGTTATTTTTTTTATTGACCATGTTACTATTGTTATTTTTTGTAAATATTAATATTCAATATTACTATTTTTTATCTTTTAATGTTATTATTTTTTTGTATTTAAATGATACTATTTTTTATTTTTAATGTTACTATTTTTTTATTTTTTGTATTTGAATGTTTCTATTTTTATTTTTAATGTTACTATGAGAGAGAAATAAATAGTCATATTTTATATATGAATATAAATAAATATGAGAGAACAAGAATTTTAACATTAGTTAAACTCTTAAAATTTATGAGTTGTTAGTTTTTAAATTTGCTTTAAATAAATATAATTATAAAGATATTTTAAATAATAGATATCAAAATAAACTTAATATTAAACAAATTTTCTTAATGAATTTATCATCAAATAAGTTCAGAAAAGAGGACCAATCTCTACGTTTCTCAACTATTTTTGAGGAAGTCGGGCCTCCTTGAGAGGCTTTATTGAATTAAATTAATCCTTTGGACCAAATGACCCCCCTGCGCCAACCGGAGGGGGAGAGGGAGGAGTGTTTGATGGAATGACTATGAGACTACCTCTGAAAAGCTATCAAAGTAATGAATTGTGAGTTTCTTTATTGTTCCTTACTTGTCAAATGAAAAATGTCTTCTTAGCTCAAAAAAAAATTAAAAATTAGGATTGAGTCTTATTTAAGAGATTTTTAATGAATTTAGTCTATTACTCAAACTTATTTGGATATAAGCCATATTTTAATCTTACTAATAAATAATTAATTATATAATTTTTTTTAAAATTCTAATATACCCTTTTTTAAAAGCATAGTTAAATTAATTTTTTAACTTGAAAATTATTACTCCTTAATTCACTATTAATGGAAATATGTCAATAAATTTTTTTATATAAATTTAAAATACAATTTAAAATTCAAAGAACTCTCTCTCTCTCTCTCAAGTCTACACTTGATTGAAATTATATGAGCTTTGGCTTGAGAGGCATTTAGGTTCATATATTGGTAGTCGAAGAAAGAGAAGGCGGATTCGATGCAAAAGTCTGTCATGGAAGTAGAGTAAGACATCTTCACAATGCCTCAAAGGTGTTCGTTGAAATGCCTTGAAGCGCGTCGCTATTTTTTCAATCCTTACAATATCATGTTACTATTTTTTTATATATTAATTTTTTTTTTGTGCTCATTGCTCATTCCAATGTTTGGTATATTATAATAAAAATTTATTCACATTTCTATGAAATGTCTTATCTCATCAACATATAATTTGTTATTCTTTAATATTTGATGATATTTTCTATTTCCAACAAACCATCACTTGTCACAACTTCCACCACTCGGGGTCGAGGTATGGTGTCCTGGTCTAAGGCTGGGGCCAAATTCAATTCTAAGAGTTTTTTAAGTATTTATTTATCTATATATATGAGTGGATTTTCAATTATATTCTAACGTTTATGCTCCGTTTGATATGATAAAAAAATAAAAAGAAGAAAAGTTGAAAAGATGAAAAATTGTAGAGATAAATAAAACATTATGTTTGGTAATGAATGAAAATAGGAAATATGAAAAAGTTGATGAATTTACTTTTCT